ATCTGGTGGATATTACACTTGTGCCCATTCATACATGTTCATCCACATGCCTCTTTAATTTATCTCAGATTCTTTCATTTATAACCCTCTAGCCCTTTTCTTGCTTTGTCCCTGAAAATAGTCCCTATACCTTTATTTTACCTCTTGTCCAGCATTCTGTATATATTACTTTAGGCTGTTTTACTTCACAAACAGATAGGATGGCCACCAAATGCACTGCCCAAAGCTCGCTACTCAGGATAAAGACTTCCCCCATTTTGGTCTTGATAAGCACTTCTGAGTATGGATATCTGGCTTGGCCTTGCAACATCCTTCAACTGCTTTGATTGGAACTAACATCCTAGGGAGAAATCTTAGTGTGATTGCAGTGGGTCAAGTGCAGGAACAGACTACATAGCGTGTTCAAGCCCTCGGGTCCTTTTAAAGCTTTAAATGGATTTCTATTAGTACCTTCTGATTCTATTAATTGGTGAATCCAAAAGAATCCTGATTTGGTGAGCATATCTGAGCTCATTATCATTGGGTATTGCATGGTCCAATGTTGCACTGGTACCACAGCCCCATGGTACATCAGGGGCTTCCTGGGAAGATGGCCTTCATGCCAATATTTCAGTGAGTTCTGAAGACTATGCAGAAGTTGTCCGCCAGGTGCATCATCCCTCATGGCCAGTTCTCTTTGGAAGAGAGATCTTGGTGTTACACTGCCACGGCTGGTCCCTTGACTCTGAGGGGATTACACACCCCTAGATCTTGTCATGCAACTCACAGAACTTCCTTGTTGGCGGAGCATCCACTGACAATCATTGACATCGAGCTTGGTCATGGGATTGGTTAAAATCATGGACTATAGGTAAAAAATTATATGCCACACCCTAGCAGAGGTTTCAAGAGCTTGTGATCATCTTCCTTGCTCATAAGTTTAAGGCATTGTGATTCTCTTTGCTGTCGGAACAGTGTATGTCAATAAGGAGAGATCGTGGTGTGAGGGGGGGAGGTGGGGGCGGGCAGGGATGCCTGGAGCAGAGCCACAGCGAATGTTGATACATACCTGAAGCATAATATGAGCGATATATCAATAGTTATTGTTGTAAGTGGCTAAGAGCTGGTAGGGGGAGGGTTGTCACTAAAACCCTAACAAGTCTGACTCATGAATTGCATCTGTGATGGTTTCCCTGGTTTCTGGCAAGTCTCCTTTGTTCTATTTTATGGCGCTCATATTTTTCTGTTTCTAATTATTCAATATATGCTCATTGATAACTTTTATTCTTGTTCTTAATATCCCGGAAGTATGTATATATGTATGTGTGTGTGTGTGCCTGTTTAGCTATATCAGAAATATCTGGATATATATGTATATATAGATAGATTTTATCTATATATTGATATATAGAGACACATATGAGGGGACTTAAAAGATAATGGGATAACTTAACTTTTAACTTAAAATTTTAAAACATCCATCACATAAACATTCCAAATTCAGTGCCAAGTCAATTCTGACTCATGGGACCCTGTAGGATAGAGTAGGATGGTTCCTTGGGTTTTCCGAGGCTGTAAATCTTTACAGGAGCAGAAAGCCTCATTTTTCTTCTATGGAGCACCTGGTGAGTTCAAACCACTGATTTTGTGGTTATTGGCCCTACCCATCACCCACTCTATCACCAGGGCTTCTTTGGCTAAATCTTACAGAGATTCTGAATCAATAGATTTTTATTCATTAGTTAATGACTCAACAATTGTCCATGGTATGGAGACTATAATTTGCATATTTAAAAACCCCATGGGGTTCTAAACAACACAACACAATCTTTAAAGATCATTTTATTAGGAGCTCTTACTGCTCATAAAAGGCATACATCATTTTTTAAAGTACATATGTTGCCATTATTATTTTCTAAACATTTACTTTCTATTTGAGCCCTGGGCATCAACTCCTCTCTTTTCCCTCCATCCTCGTAACACAATTTTAATGTGGTTTCGAATCATCGTCATCATCATCATCATCTTTCCTGGTCTCATACCAAAATGCTTTTGTTGCTTATTTTTATGTACACTTTTATTGCTTACCCTTAGGCTTGTCTTGAACAATCCTTTGGAATCTAACTCATTTTTAACCCCTTTGTTCGTCCTCCATCCACACTTTGGTCAAACTGACAGTATACCTACGACTTGTTTTCTGAAGCATTAGTTGAAAAAGTTCATGTATGAGCAAAGGCAAACAGAGCTGGATGAAATTGTTTTATGCTTTAAGATATAATTGTGACACAGCAGAGCTAATCATCTGTCTAGGAAAAAGGTGCAGGCCCTATTCAAGACAAGAGTAACCAAGAAATTGATAACACAATTATGTCCAGTAACTCCTTCATAAATGCCTTTCTGCATTAAACGCATGCATAAACCTCCCTAATTGGTCATCCTACTGGGAAGGAGATGACCGTCTACAAAAATCCTTAAAGTGATGTACCAAGAGAAGTAAGAAAAAGTATCATGACCCCATGAGACTGAAAGCAAAGCTCGAAGAAATAAAATATTGTATTTTACAGGAGAAAGCTGAAGATCACAATCTAAGTCTTACCGTGATACTAACCCACTCTCATACTTCCATCAGTATGATTAGAACTTCAATTAAAAGCAATTATTTACAAGCCTTTGTTGTTGTAGTTATTGCTAATGGTATTTATAAAAGCACAGAAAAGTAAATGCATGAAGACACTGCACATACTTAGTATGCTGACTACTACCTTCATTTGGTAATTGACTTGATTTCATTCATGTTTTTTTAATCTCCACTACTCTGGCTGGTAGATTTGGTTTCCAGCCAACTGTATTTTATTTGGCAGCGATCATATAACCGGTGTCTGAACACCAGCTGATATTACTTAGAAACCAACAGTCATATAAAAATATTTTTGATGTAGTCATGTTTTTTGATGTAGTGATGTTATTATAAGCCTTACATATTGTAAGCAGTCTTATCTTCTTAATGAATCTTCTCTGTCTTTATCCACAATGGACATTTAACTGTCATAAGTCCCCAGCTGCAAAGAAAAACAAAAACAAAAAAATAAAATAAAAATGGAAATCTCATTTACTATTATTTTCCCTACTGGAACTTTAAAGTTATGGCAAACATTATAATGATGAGAAAAATACAATAAAGAGAATTACAGAAGCTTGTCTTGGATTAGACCACATTACAAAGGCAATTAAGGCTTAGCAATTAAGGCTTAGCAACAACAAAAAGGCCAAAATAAACCCTATGTCTAGGAAAGTACACTCAATGAGCTTTTAAACTTCATTTACTCAAAGGTACTTGTTATGATTCATGTGTGTGTAAGGAAACCAGTAAAATATTGTGTATTAGTGCTTTCTTTTTCGTTTTTTATGCATTTCTTTGGTTTCCCAAGTCCTTCATTGATGGGGAAAACTCCAGCTTAGTCTCATTTTAAAAAATGGTCCTTTGCTTAAATGTGTCTTTTGTAATAACATTGAATCCATTACTCAATAGCCTGGAGAAACCTAAGGAGGTATTTCCTGTATGAGTAAGTTGAGCTTAACATTGATAGGGATTTCTTCTATTTTGTTTTAGTGTAAAATTTCTTACATAGATAATAAAAACTGTGAATTTATACACTTCACTGGAATTTTTGAAGCGTTTAAGCAGCATCTCAAAATCTGATGATATTTTACTACACATTTTTACTAGATATTATTTATTTATTTTGCTTGTTTGTTAAGATAATTATATTGGAGGCTCTTACAGCTTTTTAAACAATCCATACATCAATTGTATCAAGCATATTTGTACATATATTGCCATCATTATTTTATAAACATTTACTTTCTATTTGAGCCCTTGGTATCATTTCCTCTTTTTTCCCTCCTTTCACCCCCTCCCACCCTCATAACCCCTTGATAAATTATTGTTATTTTAATATCTTACACCAATTATTTTATACCATTCTATACCATCCATTCCTTAATTATTGATCTGCTTAGGGTCCCAAGGCCAGGTTGTGTGTGAAAATTAGTTTTACATGAAAATGAAGGATAAGCCCATCATATCAAAGGATGAATACATCAATTCCTAACTACCCAGTCCCAATCGAATCATTCATTACCTAACTACCAGAGCACAGAGAATCATGGCCCAGCCAAGTTGGCATGGAACCATAACCATCAAAGTCGTGCCACCCGCCCTATGGTCCAGTATTAGTTATTACCCAGTGGAAACCGTTAACACACAAACTAACTGAATAGTAGGGTTTGACTACTGTCATAAATGCAAAATGTCAGATAATGAGAGTGAGGAGTAGGTGTAGTTTATTATTATGATGGAAGTGTATCTCATTAGGGGTTCCTCATCCATCTTAGCCTGGAAGCTCTGCCTACACCTGTTCAGCCTCAAGACAACATGAAACTTCCACGGACTGACTTGTGTTTGGTAGCCTTCTTATCCTAATCATAGTTTATTTCCTTGCTTTCTTCAATGCAAAAGTATAGATAGAAATCATGCTTCTTGAAACTGAAAAGGCAGCTTTTGAAGAATACTGTGCATCGTTAACAGTCTGAAGTTAAAATTTCACACATATGTGTATTTATACAGAGAGGTGTGTGTATATACACACATGGGTACATGAGTACATAGATATGAATTGGAATCCACTCGGAAGTAGTGAGATATATTTCAAAACAAGTTGGACCAATCCATTATCTTTAGCTTCCATTTTCCACGAATTTTTGAAGTCCCCTCGTGTATGTATACAAACACGCACACATACCCATATATGCTTATGTATATATATGCATATATAATACATAGAGATGTGTATACATGTTACGTGTATAAATAAATATACACACGTATATACATAGTCTGAAGTCCCCTCGTGTGTATACACACACACTCACATTTACATATATGCTTATGTCCCAGACCTTGTATTTTCTGGTTCAATTTCTACTTATCCTGATGGGTTTTGTGCTGCTTTCCCTTACAGCATAGGCGGAGATGTAGGGCGAAGCCACGACGGGAGTTACGTGGGCAAACATTTCCGCATGGGATTCATGACGATGCCCGCTCCTCAGGACAGACTCCCCCACCCTTGCTCCAGTGGCTTTGCAGTGAGATCACAGTCCCTGCACTCAGTTGGGGGTGCAGATGACGACAGCAGCTGTGGCTCACGGAGACAGCCACCACCCAAGCCCAAACGGGACCCTAGCACCAAGCTGAGCACCTCCTCGGAGACAGTCAACAGCACAGCGGCCTGTAAGAGCGGAAAACCCCCTGAGAGGACGGAAGGTAAAACAATCGATGCCCTTGGCCCCTAGAAAAGTAGTTCGGACAACGCGTTCAGACCCACACAACTTCCTTTCTGGGTCACATGATCCTGTCTCTGTCACTCTGAAGTCCCAGAAAGGAAGCGTGCTGGTGATGGGTCATTTTTGGTGTGTTATCAAGTGACACTTCGAAGGACACATTTGCTTGTGTCTTCTGAAAGGGAAGGCAATGTGAGTTTTCCTTCCCCCTTAAACCTTCAAATGATTAGAAAATGACTTTGTCTAAAAATATACATAAAACATGCATTTTCTGCCTTTTGTTAATACTGGTTGTACCACTAAGGAGTCACCACCGTGCTGTTGGTGGGGCATTAACTGCTCACCCCAAGGTCAGCAGTTCAAATCCTCCAGCCTGTCTGTCCTCAGGTGAAAATATGTATAGTCTCAGAAACCCAGTGCGGGGTCTATAGGAGGTGGAACTGACGGGGTTGGTTGATTGGCCGGCTGGATTTGTATAATTTTCAGGAGACTTGGTCACCAACAGTCATCATGGACTTCATGGCAGAGAGTGGTGGGTTGATGACGCCACAGGGAAGTTCTTAATTGCTAGTCAGCCGGCAAACATCTGAAACCCCTCTGCTCAGGGGGAACTGCTTCCGTCATGGTCACAGCCCCGCAAACCCTTTATCACACAGGGTCGCTATGAATCAAAAGTGATCCCCGGGCACTTCACAATGGCATTAAGGAAACATTTGATTGCAGGGAAATAATGAGGGCCTGGGGGAGATAACCGTATATTTCGGAAAGAACCTGTAAAAATCGTGGTGTATATTTTTCCAGTGAATATAGATGTAGGTGTGCATGTTGGTATGCATTATAAAATACACACATGTGTGCCTGTGTCTATAGGATGTTTACATTAGTCTCCACCTCAACTTCTATTTCTAATTTATACGTATACTAATATCTTTACTCAGCTCTGAAATACAGAAATAGGATTACCCAAGCCTCTTATGAATATAAATCAGGTCATGTTAACTCCCGATTTTGCCAGTTCTTTCAGCTTTTACTTGAGTTCTTCCTGACAGGCTGTTGGCCTGAGACAGTTCACAAGTGTGTTTTGATACAGGCCTATTTGTGCTTCATGTATTTATGGTGAAAAACAATTCAAATTGGCCAATGCTGCCAGCAGCCAGCTGGAGAATGTGACTTTACCTGGTGCCATTCTTTCCTTGACCCTCCCTGTCCTTCATGGTTTCAATAGTGTTTCTCCTGAGTCTCCCAGGGTTCCAAGTTTCACAGTACGTTCCAGAATCGGATAGAAACCAGTGAGTCTTTCTCAACTGAACAGAAATCTGTGTCCTCAGAGTTCCCCAACACCACCCGCCCCTCCCCTGCATCTACAGGTCCAGTCTTTGCACCATCAACTCAAACCCATCATTAAAACGAGGTGTCCAGCAGCATGGTCCATTTTTTGTGTCACCCCTGTCTCTCTTTTCTCCCAGATTTGGGCCCAAACACCTAAAGCCAAAAACCAAAAAAATCTTAGTGCACAATAAATCATATCTTAAAAACCTGCAGGTGGAACTAACCTATCAATGCCACCAGTAAAACCTCTACTTACAGCTGTTTTTCATGTCTCATATCCACATCTAAAAGAATACATTGCACACATCAGTAAGTGTTTGAAACCATACGCATGAATACCATGTGACAATGTACAGTCACCAAAGTATAATCATAGTGAATATCATCTTGTATTTTGTTTTATTACCTTTTCTATTTTCCATGTCATTCAGGAATTTTCAAGAAGTGACACTTTTAAGGAGATTAGGGTACATCATTGTAATTTATTGAATTTTATTCTTGATGAATGTTTATGTTTGTTCCAATTTGTTTTGATGTAGTGAATTTCTCTTTCTCTCTCTTTCTCTGTGTGTGTGTGTATGTGTCTCTGTGTGTGACATGTATGTATGACTGCATTACTAGGAGCAGAGCCAATGTGACAGCACATACAGAACAGCTTTGTGCCACACTCTTTATTGTCCCTCTGCCCCCCTCTGAGCATATTAGAAATAAATGTTCTTTCTCATACTTCAAGGTCATGAGTAGGTCCTTCAACCTGTAACACACTGCTTCTTACAGAAATAATTTAGATGTTTAGTTTATCAAAACACCAAAGGCAAAGTCACATTCTCCAGCTAGCCTGCTGGCAGCATTGCCCAACTGGAATGGCCCTAAAGACAAGACTGGGGTAAATTCTAAATGTTGTTCCCGGGTGTCCTCCAAAATTGGAACATGGCATATTTCATTACCTTTTATTGTTTCTGTCACCCCACTCCTCCTGGGAATTCCGGAAAAAGCATAATCAACTAAATTAGATGGTTTGTAAAAGAAGGAGTCTGTGTAAAAAGGATGAACAATGAACGAAGGTAGTAGGATCAAACACCATCTGGAAAGTTTCAAGAATATAGAATAAAGAACCAGTAGCAGAGGAGAGGAGACAAGAGACCAAAACAGAACAGAACTAGCAAATGGCAAAGACCCAGCATGATGATCAGTTCTGGGAAGAAGAGAAGAGAACGTGATTAAGTTCAAGTAGCAAAGATGGAAGGTAGACTTAGAAGATAGACTGATAGACAGGTAAGGTTTTTTTTTTAATTGTTTTATTAGGGCTCATACAACTCTTATCAAAATCCATGCATACATCAATTGTGTAAAACACATTTGTACATTCATTGCCCTCATCATTTTCAAAACATTTCTTCTCCACTTAAGCCCCTGGCAT